ATCAATATCAACAACATCTTCTTCTTCTTGCCCTCTTTCTCCTCCTCCTCCTCACCACATTTACATTTGTTATCGAGAGTTTTCTTGACTCGTTAGCTTACATTTGGTGTTGACGAGGATACCTTGCTCTGAGGATGGTTGTCATGTGACGGACGAAACCTTAGCGCCGGTCACCTTGGCAACAGCTGGTCAAGAGGAATCGGCCGTCGTCTTCTCGTGGAAGCGACCTGCGAGTCTCTTCACGCAACACCTTCACTCGAAATGGAAGTTAGCTCAACAAAATTGAATCGGATTGAGAAGTCCGACCACTTCAGTCTAGTTTTCACGTCCGAGGCGGTGGTTTGTAGCACAGGCTGGGCGGAGACTTGAACAAAACGGCAATTTGGCGGTCTACTTTTATGCCTTTCCTAGACCGGTCCGCTTAACGGCTGGAGCCGAGAGAACACATTTTTCCTCATAACAACGCGGAAAATGGACACTTTGGCCGGTTGAACATGTAAAATCTCCTCTTTATGCCGAGACCGGAGCGAGTGTGATTCACGAAAACGTGCCATTTACACTCCTGCTCGTCTTCAAAAGTCTGCACGTGTGTGTATGCACATATGTATGTATGCATGTGTGTATGTGTGTGTTTGTGTGTAAATTAGGCGGACCGGTTGGTATGTCTCTTTTTGGTCGGAATCATCCGTCGGTGCCGGAAGCGGGTTGTTGATTGCGTGCGTCGATTGGCAGGTCTGTTTGTCTGTGTCTCCGAGGGCAGGTATATAAAAGGGGGGCATTGTCACTCCTGCCGCGTTGAACGTGTCAGCTTGTCCTGCCTCGTCAATCCAGCCGTGACTCGCTCAGCGACATGCGCCTCTTCACCTCCACCTTCGCTCCGGCCGAGCCTGTTTCGGTATTGGCCCTCCTCGTGGTCGTCTGTCTCGGTACAGTTGACCTGGCAACCGTCAAAGCTTCACAGAACTCGGCCAACTCGGTCGAGGCGAAAAACTTGCTCTTTTCGTCCTGGCCGACAGGCGTCGCGCTGCTTCCGGTGCCCGGAGTTCTGCCCGTCGCCAGCCCAACAGCGACGTTGACAACGTCGACGGCGACGACCACGGCGAGCGCCAAAGGGGCGCCCGGCTACCTGACGACCAGTTACGCCACCTCGTTGGGTCTGCCGGTGCTGTCGCCTCGGCCGGGCCCCG